AAAGAAGCAGCAGCAAGCACTAAAACCAGATAAAGATGTAAAAGGTTAATAAAAACTTCTAACCACTAATGAGAGAGGGTTTGATACAAATAAGTGTAAATAGTTGCTACCATGGCAACAAAATAGAAGGCAAAAATGTACAACTTTAAATATTTATTTGTAATAGCATTTCCAGGTTGTAAAAGAACACAAGCTCATTGTAATTAATTTTAAAATGCATAAAAAATAAAAAGAACATAAAACCCATAATTCCAACATCCAGAGGTAACACTATTAATGTTGTTGTGAATTTTTCTTTCTTTCTCTGTGTCTCTCTCTGTATTTCAAAAAACAGGATTTTATTATACATACAGTTTAATATTCTATTTGTGTTATTTTATATTTTGAATATTTGCTCAGTTCCTTAACTATACTTTGCGAAGTTGACTTTTAAGGGCTTCATGATGTTTCACTGTAAGGAGTACCATAAGTTATTTAATCATTTCTCATTTGGTGACATTTAGATTGTTTCTAGTTTTTAAGTATATTTAAGAAAAAATTCTGCTACAAACTACCTTATTAACTATTTTAACTGCACAGCTGATAATTTCTTTACATAGATTCTGAGAAGTGGAATTACTGGGTCAAGAGAGATAAACTTTTTTAAAGCCTCTTGCCTGTTGCCAAATAATTCTCCGGAAAGTTAGTTCCAATTTCTTCTCCCACTAGCTGTGCATGAGAGTGCTCATCTCACTGTGTCCTTCAATGTCAGAGTAAGAAATGAAAGCTCTGCCAATTTGATAATTAAAAGGTACTATTTCTTTAAAAATTATTTTTCTTCTTTAAAGTTATGTATAATTTGTTCTTTTAAAATCAATATCATAGACAATTTGGAGAATACTGAAAAGCATGGGGAAGAACATAATCACATGTATATACCTTGTGAATATACAGAGCATTTTCACACATTTTTCATTGAGTCCTCCAAACAGCTTCATGAAGTACAGCTGTTAGTGTTGTCCCACTTTACAGTTATTCCCACCACAGGTCAGAGAGGTTAAGTGAGTTGCCTGCATCACACAGCAGTGAGGGATGGTGCTGGGCACTAAGTCGGGTCTTTTGACATTTAATCTCAAGCTCTCCCCACTCCACCAGTTGCTCCCGGAGGGGCTGGAGATGAGAGAAGTGCACCAGACATTCCTGGTCACTCAGAGCAGGGAACTCCTTGTCGGCTCCTGGGAGACTTAGTGTGGAGTCTGGAGGCCACGGAAGGAAAACCCGAGACCAGGAGTCAGGACCCCTGGGTCCCTGTACCAGCTTGGGCCTGGATTTGATGTGTGACATGGAAGTCATGCCTCCTTTCTGAGTCTCAGTTTCACAGTTTTCTAGATAAGCGTTTCCACTGGGTGGCCTCACAGGCTGTGACTAGGAGACAGAACCTGGGTTCTAAGGAGGTTGTTGGGAGAGGTGGGCATGGGATGCCAGGGGGCAGTTGGTTGCTCATCTTTGATATTCAGCCTGCCCTGATCCACCTCTGCTATGGACCCCATGGCAGGGTCTTCACTCTGCCTTCAGCAGGGAGAAGGTGCTTCCTGGGCCCTTCAAGGGAACCGGGCACTGGGAAGGACAAAGCTAACTCCTCTCTATGTTGTGACCCTCAGCATAGGTTGGGGAGGGTCACTTTCAGGGGGTGCAGGGGCCCTAGCAGCCCTGCTAGTTAATGTATCACTCTGGGATCCTCTCAACTTTGCTTCCAAAAAGGAAGTCTGGAAGGACATGCCTAGATCACAAGAAGTTGGCCTGGGTATGAGGCATAAGTTCCCTCTATGCTCATAAGGCTCGTCTGACTCAGAACAGAAGACCCGGGTTTGGGAGACGGAACCCAGGCCGTCCAAAGATGCCTGTTTGGGAAGATCCTTATAATCTGCAGGGGTAGCCTCTCACACTTTCCCGATCACGTTGGCAGTGAATCCACTGTTACCTCCACTTATGGCTTTTCCCCATGCTTGCTCCAAACACACAGCTTTGATCCTCTGGCCTCCTTTAAAATTCTGCTTTCTTGACCCCAGGTGCTGGCAGGCTCCGGCTCTGGCCCTGCAGCCTCTTCACAGCCCAGACAAACTCTCTTCTCTTGGTCTGGACTTTCCTTCTCCCTCTCCTGCTAGACTCCCTGGGAAGGCCAGAGCCACTAGGTTGGAGAGAGACGCAAATGGAGAATGGCACACTGACTCCTTCCACCTCTGCCTTCTGTTCACGCCAGGTCTTGAGGATTTGGATTTCATTTTCGTTTCCCCCTTGTGGTCATAACTTTAATTTTAAAGAATCAAGTTTGGGATATATATCCACATGGGACAGTCTGAGCAATGAAATGACTGCTTAGGACGGTCTTAGATATTCCTTTTGGGGTTTTGCTTAGACTTGGCCTTATACAAAGACAAAGCATGGCAGCCGTTAGGGGTTGGTGTGTTATTAAGGTGTATGAGGCTAGGGATCCAGGAATTCCTGTATCCCGGCACATGAAATTCCTAAGGGAACTGTATGCATAAGACAACACTCTGGAAACCTGCAGTCATCAAACTAATATTGAACACCTATTACACGTCAAGCCCCGTTCTAAGTGCGGGCATGCAGTAGTGAACAAAATGGACAAGAATTCTTGCCCTCATGGAGTGTACGTTGTGGTGGGAGTGGGGATAGGACACAAGGGGTGGGGGCAGCTAGGGGCCCAGGAAGGTGGGTGAGAGGCTCAGTTTGTATGACCCCGGAGGCAGACGCTCTGTATTTCACAATCACGTGGATGCCCAGACTGGCTGGCTCTGCTGCAGTGTCAAGAAGATGGCTGTTGTTTTCTCATCTGAGATTGTCCATAATCATGACAGCCAACATTGCATATGTCCTATATGCCAGGTCCTGTGCATTATCTTGGGGGGTATTATCACCCCCATTTTACAGATGAATAAACTGAGGCACAGCAAGGTTAAGTAATATTCCCAATGTCACACAGCTAGAATGTCCATCTCACTCTCAAGATGTGCTCTGAAACACTGCCCGTTACTGCCTCCACCCATTTCTGAATGGGTGTGCTCAGCCCTGGGGGAATGCCATGGCACCCACGCGGGAAGAGGGAGGCAAAGCCCAGCAAAGGGGATGGCATGAAACCAGTTTACATATTATTCAGAGTCCTATGTAACCTACTCTTTTCTGCACCAAGGCTACCAAATAAAGACTGTTTATAAAGAGTTGGAAGAACTCTCTTACAGAAGCAGCTGGTGACAGTGGCCAGTTGCTAGGCGTTGCTAGGGCAACTTAGCTGGGAGTCTGGTAGTGAAGTAATTAAACAGAGTATATAAACTACCTCAGCTGGTTTTCCCCAGAATAGGCACTTCCCTGCATGAAATGAGGCAACTGGGTTTCTTCTTTCCTCCTAAAGACAGAACAGATAGGCAACCTTTTAAAGATGCACAGACACATGCTGTGGAGGGGGGGTTGAGCTCCTCTTCATGTCCTACAGACCAGCTGGGGCTGGCCACGGTGAGGCAGCGTGTTCAAGGGTGGATGTGCGTAGATACTAGCAAGGGCAGAGCATGACTGGGGCCTAGGAGTGGCCTGGGAGTCGGGCAGGAGTCAGAAGCAGGACTGGAGCTGACGGAAACCAGGGAAGAATGGGCAAAATAGCAAGGAAAAACTCCCAAAACTAGCCACAGGAATCCAGGCCCCCACACCAGGTGTGAGGCATCAGCAGAATTTATAATGAGATGGAATGAAGTAACTGCTCAGGGCTGGAAAGGGCTTCTAAGCTTGTGATGTCAACTCTTCTGCACCTATCTTAACAGCAACACTTACTGAGTAAGGTGGCAGGCCCTGTATTAAGAGCTTACACAGATTTAAGGTGATCTTATTTAAGGTAGGTAGTATTGTGATCCCATTTGACAGAGGAGGAACTCAAGGATTAGTTACTTATCTTGTCCAAGGTCAATCAGCTAGTCAATAGTGGATTCTGGATCAAACCCATTTCTCTCTAGCTCCAAAATGGAGACCTTTGACCACTCTGCTAGTTTGTAGTTACTCTACTTGTGGAGGTTTCTACGTCCAGCTTGCTTTGAAAGCACTGAGGGACCTCTGATACTGCCTGTCCTGGCCAGAGTCTGCTCAGGACCTGGCGTGGGCTGGGGTCTGCAGGTATGAGCACGAGTGTGGCTGGCTGCAGACTTCTGGGGGAAGACAGTGGACGAGAGTTAGGCAGGGGGCCAAGAGCATGCATAGAGCTGATGAAAGAGGCTGCAAAACATGGTGAGTTCTGTGCGAGGTGGGACTATGCTTGAAGGATGCGTGGAGGAAGGAGGGAGGAAGTAATGAGTGGCCCGAGGCATGCCTTTGACATTTCCTTTCAATTTCTCTTTCTCCTTCTCCAGCAAGCTGTGCAGTTCCCAGAGATTTGGCTAGCTTGTTGAAGGCCTGAGCAAGCTTTTGATCCGCTCACACTCTCTTTGCAGTGGCTCTGGAGTCTTGCTGTGGAGGCTGTAGTCATCTTGGCCTTTGAATATTTGCCAGAAAAAAATTTTTTCCCCATAAATATAGTGATGAGAATCAAGAGAAGTCACAGTGTGTATTAGTTCTCTATTGCTGCATAGTAGATCACGCCAAAATTTAGCAGCTTAAAACAACAAGCATTTATTATCTCACACAGTTTCGGAGAGTCAGGAATTCAGGGGTAGTTTAGCTGGGTGGTTCTGGCTCAGGGTTTTTCATGAGGTTGCAATCATGAGGTCGCTAGGGCTGTGATCTCATCTGAAGGCTTGTCTGGGGCTGGGGATCCACTTCCAGAATGGTTCACTCCTATGGCTGTTGGCAGGAGGCCTCAGTTTCTCTCTATGAGACTGTGTGAGTGGCCTCTTGCAATGGCAACTGGTTTTCCTCAGAGTGAGTGATTGGAGACAGGGAAGGCAATGCATTTCTTGACCTAGACTCAGAAGTTACACATCATCACTTCTGCCATATTCTGTTTGTTGGAAGTGAATCACTAAGTACAAGGGCAGGAGAATTCATCTACACCTCTTGAGTGGAAGAGTATCAAAAAATATTGGAACATATTTTTGGAAACCACCACACAGTGTAAATAAAGACCTGGGTGAAAACAATTACATGGCCAAATGCAGAGGAGGGAAGTGGGCAAAGATCCTCCAGAGATGACCACTGGTGCTGGGCAACACACTTGTGTTCTGCATACAGGGGAGAGAGTGCATGTGCTAGTCTCTGATGGCTGCTACCATCCAGATGACAATGATTCATTCCATTTTCTCTTTGTCTGGAGAAAAATCTCATTCTATGCAAGCCAAGCTGTTTATGGATCTTTCTATCTATTCACCCATTCATGTGGGACCCAGGGCCTGATAATAGCTATTCAAACTGTGGAATGTTAATTAGATGGAAAAATGTACACATCAGCTATCTCCATTTCAATGGAGAAATCTGGCCGAGGTACATAATTTGCTTCAATGTCATCTGTGTCAGGAGTTTGAAAGGGTGGCAATATATCACTGTATTAGACAAAAGGCGTGGGATAAAAGGAGAAGGAAGTATTCACGGCAACATGGGTTTCAGGATATTAATAAGTGCAAATATTTGCTTCTCTATGGAAGCATTAAAGCTGCCTTCTTATTTCCGGGTTCTCATGCCTCAAGTTATTTGCTCTTTACTACTGACATTGAATAGAATATTAGCTCATCTTTTGGCTCTGAAATGTAGCCTTTACAATGGGCAAGTGCAACAAACAGTCTCAGTGCTGACTGGTGCCCCCTCTGTCTTGGCTGGGGCTCAGGGAGTCTATCATGAAGAGGAGTGATTGAATGCCAAGTGTGATATTAAATAGGCTGCAGAGGGAGAGATGCATGTTGTCTCCACTTTGAACCTGCCTTTCCCCTTCCTCCTCTCCCCTCTTCCTCCATGGTAGAGTAGCTGACCCCATTGAGTGGGTGGGTGCCTGGTGACCTTTCCTTCTTAGCATGGAGAGTCACTGGTCTTGCCTTCATGCACCTTGATCCTAAGGCTATCTCAGTGGCGCCTTGGCATAGAGCTCAGACACCTCTCACGTGGAAGATGACATCGCCAAGGAAGTCAGAACTGCTTCCCAAGTAGAGGAGGTGGTGCAGGCTCCCTGTGGCAGGGACAGGAGAGCTGCCCCCAACTTCTGGTGACTGACAGCGAGCAGGACATGCCCAGGGAGGGCATATTTCATATGACCACACTGTGTGCTGTGTAGATTCCTCTCCACTCACCAGGGAGGGGCAGAACTTCAACTACAGACTTTTTCTAGGTCACAAATATTCCACAAAAGGGAGAACAGAACCTATTTCTTCATCCCTCTCTGTTTTCTCATGCACCCCATTAATAGGGGAAATATGAATTTATCTTATGGACGAGAATTAGTTCGGAAGGAAACTAATCCTTGGGTGGTGAGATGTCTCATTTTAGACATTCCAGAAGAGCATCCGCTGTGACCAAGAGGGGCCAACCTGCCTGTTTCTTCTACCTCCAGCATCACAGGACCAGAACCCACACTCTCCCTCCCAGGGGAGTCAGTGGCCCCTGTGTAAACTTCACAAGAGAGGGAGCCACGAGCCCACATCACTTCTCTGTAATTTCTAAAAGCCACATCATCAGACATAATGGATGTGAAATTGCTTTCTCATCGTGGGACCTTGATCAATATTTGTTGAATAAATGAATGAATAAACTCTAAGGTGGTGCGGAAGGGCAGCAGTATGATTATAGCTATTTATTTCACTGTCAAAGCATGAAAGGGCCTGGGTTCTTTCAGAGAATGCCATCCTATTCCTTCAGTTCTCACTCAAAAACCAGGAAAACTCCTTTTTTTTAAGTTTTAATTTTTGTCAGAATTATACGTGCACCTAGTTTACATACTCAACTGGTTCTACAAGGTTTGTTAAGACAAGAAGCGGTCTCCAGTCACCTCCTCTGTTTCCCCTCCACAGAGGCCACCACTTTCACCCTTTCTGGGTGTATTTTGGTCCTTATCACCTCATCTCCAACAATATATTTGTGTCGCTCCTTCTTGATTTCTGGAGGTTTGTTTCTGGCATCATCTATCGACTTCTCACAATGGAAAATGCAGGTTCAGCTCCCCTTCTTCCCCTTGTCGCACCAAGTACATGCAGCCTTCCATCTTCCCATCCTCCCAACATAATCATAATCTTGCTTAGATCAATATTCAGTGTTTACAATATTATGACCAGGTATGCTATTCAGGTCTGAGTCATTAGAGTAAACTTTGATTACTTTCCTTCCCTGAACAATCTTGTTTTCCCTGGAGTTAGCTGCCTTTTGTTTGTGTGTATGTTAGAGAGTCCCCATTCTTAACATAAATTCAACCCCAACCTCTCCAAAGGTTGTCCACATTTCCTTCATTCCCATCAGATAGTCTATCAACTCATCTTCCTGAAGGAATCCCCTCTGCCTCTTTCCGGCGCTGGGTCTCCCGTTGCCTGTAGTTCATTCTTCCTCTTTTTTGGTTTATGCTCTAATTTGGGTGGAGCACTTCATCAGCAGCTTCCTGAGAAATGGGGTGTGGGATGTAAACTTTTTGAGACCTTGCCCATCTGTATTTTTTTTCCTTCAGAATTTTGAAGGCGTTATTCCATTGTCTTCTGCCTTCCAGGGTTATTTTTGAGAAGTCTGAAACTGTTCTAACTCCCAATTCTGTGTACTGTAGCCTCTTCTTTTTGCCCGCTGTGTTTTGAAATTTAACCTTGATGTGCCTGGTTTGGTATTTTTATCCATTTCTTTGGGCACTCAGTGGCACTTTTGATCTGGAAACTCATGGCCTACGGATCCGGACAATCTTGAATTGATGCTAAAGGGTTTTCTGTTTCTGGAATTCCTATTACTCGGATGTTGGACCCACTGAACTGGTTCTTTAATTATCTTATTTTCTTCCTTTTCCATCTTTTTGGGAGATTTCCTCAGCCCTTCAACCCTTCTATTGAGTTTCTCATTTCTGCTCTCATATTTTTAATTCCCGGGAGCTCTTCCTTGTTTTCTGAATGTCCCATACTCCTTTTGTAGCCTCCTATTCTTGTTTCACGGATATAACGTACCCTTTTATATCTCCCAGGATATTGAGGTTGTTTTTGTGCGTCCTCCTTGAAAAGTCTGTTTCCTTCAGGTTGCTCCCCTGTCCTCCTTGATTCTTTTGGTCTCTGTCCTTCATGTTGGAGATTTTCCTGAGGTGCCTGGTGATCCCTGAATATCTGCTCGTGTTTAGGAGCCGGAGACTAAAAAGCCTGTAGGTGGTGCTTGTCAACTGCGAACTTTTCTGTAGGGTAATGCAACTGTGCAATTTGTTGGGGAAAACCTCAATGTCAATTTTTAAAAATCCTTTCTCTTCAACCATCCAGATTCCTCTTAGAGACTCTTCCACTCTCCTGTCTGGAAGACAAAGGCCCGGTTGCTGATATTCTGGGGGCCCACTGCAGGAAGCAAGATGGGAGCCCAAACATTCTGTATACTGTGGTCACTTCATTTAATATGGTATCTTGGCCTTCAGCTGGCTCTGTTGTCCCTCAGTCCAGATGCCCTCTCTTGTGTCCTCTCTGGAGAATAAACCTCTAGTCTTCTCCAGACGTGGGCAGGACAGTCACCTGAAGGCATAGAGTTGGGGAAGGCACCTAGGGTTCTAGTTGCTTCTTAAATAATTCTCAAGCAATCTAACCTGTTTTACCCTGTTCACCCCAACCCCGGAGGCATCAGTGCTACTAATTTCTGCACCTTTCATTACTGAGTTAGTTCTCAGCTTTCTCCACTGTCAGTTTAGGGTTTAGATTCCTCAGCTCTGCCAACTCAGAGCTTACTGTTTCTCCAGGTCTTGTTGTTGGGGTCTCTTCTCTACTTCTGTCCTTGCAGTTCTTGTTTCTCACAAGGCCTCTGGCCCTGGGCTGCAGACCAGGCCCTCCCATGGCTGCCTTCCCTCTGCTCACGAACTCTGCTCTCCAGTCACAGCAGTGACGGCTGGGCCAGGCCAGAGCACATTTAACTCCTCTGCACAGGAAATCTCTCTCAGTCACAGCAGGACTGTCCATAGATGTGATCGAGAACCATTCTGGGTGCAAAAGCCAGAAAAAAATCAGAGATTAAACAGAGGAAGAAGAGACGACTTCTGTCCTGGACTTGAGGGAGGCCATCTCGGAGGAGGTGGCATTTAGCCAGGTGTTGAGCGGATTGTTTGTGTTTTGGGTCAATTGAATTTAAATTCACATGTTCTGTGTACGAGCAGGCATTGGGTTAGGGTAGGGAGTTACTGCCGCATAGTGTTTAAGTAGAGGGTTCTAGACAACGTCTGGATTTTAATCCTGGATTCTCAATTACCAACTGTAATTTGCTTAGATTCTATAATCTTCACCTTTCCAATTTATAAAATGGAGGTAATAACAGTGCCTTTCACAGGAGTTGTTGGGAGGATTAATTAAACACAAGTGTGCAAGTAAAGTAATGACGGAACCACAGCATAGTACGTGTATAGAGAGGATTGGTGCATAGACTGTGCCAGAAGACTGTGCCGGCTTTGAGTCCTGGCTCTGCTGCTGAGTGTGAACTTGGGTAAGTTACTTACCCTTTCTGTGCCTCAGTTTACTCATCTGTACGCTGGGGATAATGTATTGTAGGGATTAAATGACATACTATGTATAAAGATCTTAACCCAGTGCCCGAGACATAGACATCAATAAGACTTGTTAAGAAGAGTATAAAACATGAGGAGCACGACCCCTGAACCAGACTGCCGGGTGCAAAGCCCATGTTTGCCACTCACAGCCAGGTGTCCTTGGTTAAATTCCTTAACCTTCCTTTGCCTCAGTTTTCTCAACTGTAAAATAGACATGATAACAGTACCCATTGTGTAGGGTTGTTGTGAGGATAAAAATGAGTTAATACATGTAAAACAGTTAATACCTGTCAGTGTTGGCTTAGTGTTGTACCAATTTCAGCTGTTTTGCATTCATTTGCTTTTTCCCTAATGTATTC